TTTTTTTTTATATATATATATATATATATAAATATATATATATATATATATATATATATATATATATATATATATATATATATATATATATATATATATATATATATATATATATATATATATATATATATATATATATATATATATATGTGTATGTATATATATATTAAAATAGACATAAGAGAAAATACTGATAAAAACTCAGTTTTTACTCTAAGCTTCACTTGAGAAATATTTGAAAATAATAAAAAAATTCACAGGAGGACGAATAAATTTGTCTTTAAATGTATATTTCACTGCTTTTAAATAAAAACTAAGCATTTTGTCCTTTCTTTTTTTATTTTGTCATTTTTTAAAAAGTTTTAAAGTGCATTTTGTTTGAGAACCATACTGTAAACGAGTACAAAAACATGAGTTTATGAAAATGGTCACATTATCCACATGCATATCCCATCTTGTTTTTATTCATTTTTGGTGTAATCAGTGTGAAAGGGGATCTTTTCACAAAAGAACTTTGACTAAAGACAAAAAAAAGCAACTTTTCTAAATTGATTTCTTAGAGAAAATATCATTTCTATACTATTATAAGCAAGAAAAATGGCTTCTATTCAAGAAGAGACCACTCAAATGACTTGAAAATGAACAAGTAAATAGAGTAAACAATCAAAACAGAACAACAGCAACAAAACTTTTCCCTTAAGAGTTTCTTTGGCACAAACTAAATAAATTTACTTCAGTCCACGTCACTTTTGTTTGCTAAAGAAATCTTTAAAGCTGCAGGCAACGACATTGTCTCTTTATAGTTAAAACAACGGTAACAATTTATTTTGATGGTCCATTTGAGTATTAGTAGACTGTCTGCCTAATATCTGTTGATACTGCTCCTTCAACAAACATGTAACTGACTATAAGAAACTTTGCGAGTACATGTCAACTATCGCTAACCCTAACCCCAACCAAACAGTCTCATAATCTAATGAGAATTAGTTGACATGTAGATGAATTGTAACTTAAATTCAACAAACAGACCATCAAAATAAAGCGTGACCAAATCACCTTTATAATCGATCTTAGAGCTTTGCTTATTTTGTGTTATGAACTTTCAATTTTCATGGCCAAAAGCATAGATGTATACACTAGATATCGCATTGGGACCCTGTGCATGCGTCAATAGCGCCGCCACATTGGTACAGTGCTCCCAGGACTAATGTCATTCAACCGCACTAGTTAAGACAGTGTTATTACGTGAAGATGCGGGACTTTAGCGCTGTCTACGGGTGTAGTAATGAGCAAACAAAGAAAACAAAGCACAAAGGCAGAACATTTCATAGGTAATATTAAGTATTTTTATGTTTTTGTATGTTCTGAACTTTTGTGCTAATCAGGACACGTTATTGATGATAACAGTCACTTACTGCATTCACCATGAGGCAAAGCAGCTCCAACTCGCACTAAACACTCGGCTTATGCTAGTTTTGTTGAATAAAATCAGCGAACAATGCAAAATAAATATGACAAAGAGATGCTGCTCAGCCAGAAACTTGTATTATTGTCGCCTAACGTTAGTGAAAGAGTCGTCCGGGGGATTCATTCACAAGCGAATCGCTCCCTCCGTCAGTATGAGAAGTGAAAGCAGGAGAGGAGCTGTGTTTCAGGACATGCTTAGATCAAATTTAACAGGGAGGGTGAATAGTACATTTCTGTACACACAAACACAAGCTTTTTGTCAGGAATGCCGGTGCGGTCACTGATCCATCAATGTAGAAAAGTGATGTAAAATTATAATTTTCGTAATTAGAAAAAAAAATGACATACTAACATCAAGAAAAACTCCTAATCATAGATATGTGTGTATATGTGTATATCTCTGGCTTTGCATGGCCACAGTCCTCCACTGTACCTTGGTCCCGCATTCATTTCAAAGGAGTGCTACCCTGTACCAAGATGGCGGCGCTATTGACGCATTCCGTCCAATAGAAAACAATAGGCCAGGCGATATCTAATGTATATATCTATGGCCAAAAGCCTCAACATGTACTTTTACTCCCTCTTGGGTTTGGCTGTGAGTAAATGGACGAATCCAGGCACCAGCACCATGACCACCTGCGGCACGATGCTGTATTTGAGGAAGAACAGAGAGTAGAAGAGAAGAGGAGGGACAGTGGGCAGAGGGAACCTGCTGATGTAGTGCAGGGCCAGAGACGACAGGGCAAGACAGAGAGTCCTGGGGGCCCGAGGAAGAGTCCATCCGCCAGGCTTCCAGTACTGCGCCAGGCCCAGTCCTAAGAGAACCCCAGCGTCACGGTTAAGGGAGGAAAAGGGCGCAGTGTCCATCCGGACCCACTCAGAGCGAGAACACCAGCGCTTGGCCAGAGAGATGGACCTGCGAAATAAGAGTAAGTTGATCATTTAAAAATACATATAGACACACACACGCACAAACTTATATGAATTATTAACTTAAGTTGAGCATTTATATACATCATTCAGTCGACTGAAATATTGGACCCACCAAGAAAGATCGATCCCCGTTTTTTCCAGAACAGCGTGGAAAATAAGAGCAGCACCGAGCAGAGCCATGCTGAAGCGAAAGAAGAACAGCAGAGGGCGCCGTTCAGGCACAGAGCGCTTCAGAAACACCCCCAGAAGCACACCTGTGGAAAACACACACACACACACCATCAACACCTCCTTTACTATTGAAGACAGCGACTAAATGTATTACCTTCTGACCTGTCAGAAAACCTGCAACGACCTGATGAGGAAAATGAGCCAGGATGAAGATCCGAGAAAGGCCTACACATCCCAGAAACACTGCATACAGCAGATACAGCACTGCGGATAATATCTTACTGGAAGACAAAGACTTGAGTTAGTTTTACTTATGAGTAAACGGCATTCATAAAGCTCATTCTTATTCATTTATTTATTTTTCTAAATGTCCCGTTAAGTGCATTGAAATAGGCATTTTTGTTTGTGGGATGAATTTGAACTTAAACATGAACACAGGGGGCTGGACATAAAGTAGCTCCTCCCCTTTAAAAAAACAGCCAATAGTGTTTCGTGTTATCACAGCTCTGCCAGTGAGAGTGGCTAAGCTCAAGCGTAGCAGTCTGATTTCTCAGTCTATTTTCCATCCAAATGTAAGTTTAACATTTTGATTTTTGATTTTTCGGTGTGATTTAATTTGTTTTCCCAGAGATGGGTTGCGGCTGGAAGGGCATCCGCTGTGTAAAAACTTGCTGGATAAGTTGGCGGTTCATTCCGCTGTGGCGACCCCGGATTAATAAAGGGACTAAGCCGACAAGAGAATGAATGAATGATTTAATTTGTTACTTTTCTCATGACAAACATAACATAGAATTTCTAGGCAATTAATTTATTTTATTGGGTAAATATTATATTCACAAATGTAAACTTTCTTCATCATTACCTAAGCTGCAGAATTTACTTTACTTTACAAAATGTTTACAGCAAAAAAAAAAAGTGTTAAAACTGTGAAATTTTATAAGGACTTTGTAAATATTGTTTAATTAGATCATTTGCCTCTGTATACTAATTTATTTTATTATTAATTTGACTTATTTACCATTGTACTTGATGTCATCCATTGTTATGATTAACATGTTTGCATTGTTAAAAAACAATAAAAAAAAAGCTGAAGCGTAGGAAATGAGAGTTGTATTGAAGAAGGTGGGGCTTGTCAGATTTTAAAGAGCATTTAATTTGTCAGAAGATTTGATGAGAAACTAAACTATGAGGTGATGTCAAAAAAATGTGTTGATCCATTTAGACGGCGCTAGGATTTTTATCTTCTAAATGCAAATGTTGTTGCTGTTCTGGAGCAAACTAGATTATAGATATACTAAGACTAATACTGATACCAACATCTAAAAAGCTTTATTTTGATTTCACAGGGATTTTAAGACTTATTTGACAGGGAAAATCCACGTAAATAATATGTAAATGTACAATAAAATGTAACAAAAAAAATGTTAAATGCATTAAAAACAATGGAAGCATATATATATATGTATTTATTCATTCATTTTTTTTATCCTATGTCAGCATCAAGGCTATTTTCATGTTGAGTTTCAAGTTGGGTAAGTTCATTCATTCATTCATTTTCTTGTTGGCTTAGTCCCTTTATTAATCCGGGGTCACCACTGCGGAATGAACCGCCAACTTATAAAACACGTTTTTACGCAGCGGATGCCCTTCCAGCCGCAACCCATCTCTGGGAAACATCCACACACACATTCACACACACACTCATACACTACGGTCAATTTAGCCTACACAATTCACCTGTACCGCATGTCTTTGGACTGTGGGGGAAACCAGAGCACCCGGAGGAAACCCACGCGAACGCAGGGAATACATGCAAACTCCACACAGAAATGAGCCGAGGCTCGAACCAGCGACCCAGCGACCTTCATGCTGTGACGCGACAGCACTACCCACTGTGTCCCCGTTGGGTAAGTTACTTTTAAAAACGTAATTAATTACTATTTACATAATCAAAATTGTATTTAAGTAACAATCTTAATTACTTGTCTCAATACTACTTAATTAAATACTAACAATGCATAGATAATATACATTAAACTCTTTCAATTTTTTCACATTTTGAGTCAAACAGAGTCTTTTAGCTTTATTAAAAAAATAACACAAGTTAAACTTATCAAAATGTTTCAAAGTAATGATACCATATTTCATACGTACCATGTATTGTCATTCATTTCTTACTCAGTTCATAGTTTTTTAAAGGAGCGCTCCACTTTTTTTTTGTAAATAGGCGGATTTTACACGTCCAATCTCACAGTCTGGCCAAAGCACTTTTAGCTTAGCTTAGCATAGATAATTGAATCAGATTAGACCATTAGCATCATACTTAAAATTAAAAAAAAAAGTGTTTCAATAATTTTCCCATTTAAAGCTAATTCAATAAAAGTGTTCTAATCCAATTTAATGATCCATGCTAAGCTAAGCTAAAAGTGCTCCTGCCAGACCCGGAGATCAGCTGAATGGATTAAAAAAAAAGTTTCTAAAGCATGTGCAAATGTTAGGCAGATCTGACTTTCTTTAATTAAAAAATAAATCAAATTACATTTTATGTTTGTTTGGATGGATGGATGGATGGATGGATGGATGGAGGGATGGATGGAGGGATGGATGGATGGATGGATGGATGGACGGATGAACAGTCAAACGGAAGGAAAACTGATTGGCTAATGCATGGACAAATAGGTAAATGGATGGATGGATGGATGGACAGAGGGATGGATGGATGGATGGATGGATGGATGGATGGATGGATGGATGGATGGATGGATGGATGGAGGGATGGATGGACGGACGGACAGATGGATGAACAGTCAAACGGATGGAAAACTGATTGGCTAATGCATGGACAAATAGGTAAATGGATGGATGGATGGATGGATGGATGGATGGATGGATGGATTGATGGACGGACAGACGGATGGATGGATGGATGGAGGGATGGATGGATGGATGGCTGGATGGATGAACAGTCAAACGGATGGAAAACTGATTGGCTAATGCATGGATGGATGGATGGATGGATGGATGGATGGATGGATGGATGGATGGATGGACGGAGGGATGGATGGATAGATGGATGGATGGATGGATGGATGGATGGATGGATGGACAGTCAAACGGATGGAAAACTGATTGGCTAATGCATGGACAAATAGGTAAATGGATGGATGGATGGATGGACAGAGGGATGGATGGATGGATGGATGGATGAACAGTCAAACGGATGGAAAACTGATTGGCTAATGCATGGACAAATAGGTAAATGGATGGATGGATGGATGGATGGATGGATGGATGGATGGATGGATGGATGGATGGATGGATGGATGGATGGACGGATGGATGGAGGGATGGATGGATGGACGGATGGATGAACAGTCAAACGGATGGAAAACTGATTGGCTAATGCATGGACAAATAGGTGGATGGATGGATGGATGGATGGACGGATGGATGGACAGAGGGATGGATGGATGGATGGATGGATGGATGGATGGATGTATGGATGGAAGGATGGATGGACAAACGGACGGATGGATGAACAGTCAAACGGATGGAAAACTGATTGGCTAATGCATGGACAAATAGGTAGATGGATGGATGGATGATGGATGGATGGATGGACGGACAGACGGAGGGATGGATGGATGGATGGATGGATGGATGGATGGATGGATGGATGGATGGATGGATGGATGGACGGACGGACAGATGGATGAACAGTCAAACGGATGGAAAACTGATTGGCTAATGCATGGACAAATGGATGGATGGATGGATGGATGGATGGATGGATGGATGGATGGATGGATGGATGGATGGACGGACGGATGGATGGACGGATGGATGGACGGATGGATGAACAGTCAAACGGATGGAAAACTGATTGGCTAATGCATGGACAAATAGGTAAATGGATGGATGGATGGATGGATGGATGGATGGATGGATGGATGGATGGATGGATGGATGGACGGATGGATGGACGGATGGATGGACGGATGGATGAACAGTCAAACGGATGGAAAACTGATTGGTTGATTGCATGGACAAATAGCCGGTTGGATGGATCGTCATGGATAGATAAATATCAATACATGAGTGTATATAACAAGCATAACTTTTTGTCTTTGCTTTGTGTAATGTCTGATTACTTTGCTTCTAATTAAGCTGACTAGTTTTTTTACCCCTTGTTGGAGGGAGAAGATTGTGAAGACGAGTATTATTGTATTCATTTTAATGGAAACTGTTGTCGATTTACATTAAAAGTGCAGTCCAATCAAATCTGCAGTTAAAGAAGCTGGCTGTTTTCAGAGAGGCTTTGGGACTGACCTGCCTGTGTAAGCTTGACTGAAGGAGGCCAGAGAAGAGACGATCACCCACCATACTGCACTGGTGACCATAGCGTGACCCGACGGACTGCCTGACGGACAGAAGAGGAACACGTGTATATGAACATCTCACAGTGATACAGGTAAAACCATCCAGTGTTATACTGCTGTACCTGGACCGCTCTCACAGGTGGACTGAAACTGCTGCACTTCTGGAGGCTTTTCAGAAAACAAGCCAGATTGTCCAATCCACCAGTAAGGCCTCTCGCCAAAGAGGATCCTAAATGCCACATTACATGACTTAAAGTTCATTTAAAAGCTGTTTTCATTTTATTCTTAACGTTTTTGATTGTGTTTTGTCTTTTCTTATTACTTTTTGTTTTTGATAAGTTTGAATCAATTTGTAATTCAGTTTTGTTTTTTCACCCAACAAACAGCTAAAATATTTACTTTAAGTTTCTTTTTCTTCAGTAAATTTTAGTTACATCTTAAAACAAAAGTACTACATTTATTAGTATTCGATAATAAACAGAAATTAAATTGACTGGTTTCAGTTAATGATAAAAATACTGAATACCTATTTTATTAAATTAATTTAAGCTCATACTTTATTTTAAACTTTAATTTTTAGAGTAAAAAAACATTTCTTCATTTAATGAAAACGTCGATTAATTCAATTTTTAGCAAGTATCAAATTTACAACAACAAATTTGATCATTTATATGCCTAAAGACATTTATATAAATTTTTAGACAACACTTTACCAGTGTTTTAACTTCGAATGAGTTATGAAATCTATATTTGATGTAATAACCCTTTCAATCATAACAAATTCCTTAATATATATATATATACCATGTATTGTCATTCATTTCTTACTCAGTTCATAGTTTTTTAAAGGAGCGCTCCACTTTTTTTTGTAAATAGGCGAATTTTACACGTCCAATCTCACGGTCTGACCAGAGCACTTTTAGCTTAGCTTAGCATAGATCATTGAATCAGATTAGACCATTAGCATCATACTTAAAAATTTTTTTAAAAAGTTTCATTTTATTCTTAACGTTTTTGATTGTGTTTTGTCTTTTCTTATTACTTTTTGTTTTTGATAAGTTTGAATCAATTTGTATTTCAGTTTTGTTTTTTCACCCAACAAATAGCTAAAATATATACTTTAAGTTTCTTTTTCTTCAGTAAATTTGAGTTATATCTTAAAACAAAAGTACTGCATCTATTAGTATTCGATAATAAACAGAAATTAAATTGATTGGTTTTAGTTAATGATAAAAATACTGAAAGACAACCTATTTTATTAAATTAATTTAAGCTCATACTTTATTTTAAACTTTAATTTTTAGAGTAAAAAAACATTCATATATTTGATGAAAACGTTGATTAATTCAATTTTTAGCAAGTATCACATTTACAACAACAAATTTTATATTTATATAAAATGATTATTTATATACCTATAGACATTTATATTAATTTTTAGAAAACACAATACCAGTGTTTTAACTTCAAATGAGTTATGAAATCTATATTTGTTGTAATAACCCTTTCAATCATAACGAATTTCTTAATACATATATTTATATTTATATATACTTATATATATATATATATATATATATATATATATATATATATATATATATATATATATATATATATATATATATATATATATATATATATATATATATATATATATATATATATATATATATATATATATATATATATATATATATATATATTTATTTATTTTTTTTTTTTATATATATAAATTACATGATTTTATTATGAAATTTGAAAGAGACGTGTTTAATCACTTTTTCTTAAATCATTTAATCTGAATATATTTATGAATTACACACTTTTGTTTAAATATACATTATTACAATAATAATAATTATTAGTAGTGGTAGTATTTATGATATTAGATTACTCTGCAGACATAAATCATTTGAGTCACAATTTACAGCAAGGTATTATTACAATAAGTTAATATATATAGTCAGGTCCATAAATATCGAGACATCGACAAAATTCTAGCATTTTTGGCTCTATACACCAGCACAATGTATTTAAAATTAAAACAAAAACAACAAGACGTGCCTTAACTGCAGACTCAGCTTTAATTTGAAGGTGCTTACATCCAAGTCAGGTGAGTGATGTAGGAATGTGTGGCTCCCACTTGTTAAGGGACCAAAAGTAATGGGACAGTAGGCTTCTTAGCTGTTTCATAGCTAGGTGTGTGTTATTTTCTCATTATCCCAATTATAATGAGCAGATAAAAAGTTCATTTCAAGTGTGCTACAGACCTGACTGTATATTAATTAATCAATCTTTACCTTTATTTGTCTCCTTAAGGACATTTTTTCTTGAGCAATCAAGCGGGTAAAGTACATTTAGTGACAAAACAGCTATTAATCATACATAAACAAAGACATAATACTATAATAATGAAATAAAACACTAGTACAGCATTTATTAATCATTTACTAATGTGTTATTAAAATCCTAAAAAAGTCATGCTTGTTAACATTAGTTAACATGAACTAGCAATGGACAACTTTCCATTAACTAACGTGAATAATGAATAAATACTGCAATGAAAGTATCGTTCAGTGTCTTCATTAACTAGCTAGCATTAACTAATACAACCTTATTATGAAGTGTTTCCATTATCTGACACAGTTTTCGATTTCACTTCACAACATCCCATAGTGGAAAACTACTCATACCATTTAAGAACCAGATTAAGCCACTCTGAAAGAGCTGCTACCCAGAGCACAGCGATGCCTGTCCGGCGATGTATGTAAAACACGACGGGGAAAACCAGCAGAACCGCGGCTTTCGGGTCTCCCATATGAGAAGCGACGAGCCACATATCCTCCAAACTTCTGCTTTTCTGCTGAAGGGCTTCCGCCATCCACACGCCCTGCCGGTAGACGCTCTCCATTATAAGATGTTCAATAAACGTCCAGGAATAAAATTAATTTCCACTTTTCATCTTCCAGACTCTGAGAATCAACTGTCAGATGGACAGATGTGTCATGTTTTGCAGATCTACCGCTAATACGGGAGCCGCAGCAGGACATCTTTGGCTAAACGCGTTTTTTAAAATCAGGACGGGAACTGAACCTGAATTGTTCAGTCATTCATTCATTTTCCTTTGGCTTAGTGCTTTATTTATCAACGGTAACTACAGCGGAATGAACAGCCAACTATACCAGCATATGTTTTACGCGATGGATGCCCTTCCAGCCGCAACCCAGTACTAGGAAAAGACCTGGATTCATTCATTTATTCATTTTCCCTCAGCTTAGTGCCTTATTTATCAGGGGTCGCCACTGCAGAATGATCTGCCAATTATTCCAGCATATGTTTTAAGCAGTGCATGCCCTTCTAGACGAAAGTGTTGGGAAAGGACCTGAATCCATTCATTCATTCATTCATTTTTCTTTGGCTTAGTGCCTTATTTATTAGGGGTCGCCTCAGCGGAATGAACCGCCAACTATTCCAGCATATGTTTTACGCAATGGATGCTTTTCCAGCCACAAACCCAGAAGTGGGAAAGGACCTGAGTTCGTTAATTTTCCCTCAGCTTAGTGCCTTATTTATCATAGGTCGCCACAGTGGAATGAACCACCAACTATTCCAGCATATGTTTTAAGCACTAAATGCCCTTAATTTTTCTTTGGCTTAGTGCCTTATTTATCAGGGGTCACCACAGCAGAATGAACCGCCAACTATATATATTTTACGCAATGGATGCCCTTCAAGTCGCAACCCAGTACTGGGAAACAATATGAATTCATTCATTTATTCATTTTCCTTGGGCTTAGTGCCTTATTTTTCATTCAATTCGCTCAGAGCCTGAAGGTTTTGTCCTCCATACCCGCACTATAATTATTTGTTTATTTATTTAAGCCGGAATTTGTAAATATTTAAATACATTTATATGCATATTTATGTGTTTATTTTTTATTTATGCAGGGATTTATGGATTTATTTACTAACTTATTAAAGATATTTGCATATTTATTTTTTGTTTTGCAGGTTTCGCCCTTCATACCTGCACTATTAATTATTTGTATATTTATTTATGCAGGGAATTTGTGAATTTTTTATATACGTTTATTAATTTATTAACATATTTATTTATTTATTTATTTATTTATTTCTTATTTTATTTATGCAGGGAGTTGTGGATTTATATTCATTTATTAATTATGTTGGTGTATTGATTTATTGTTTCTGCAGGTTTCATCCTCCATACCCGCACTATTAATTATTTGTATATTTTATTTATGCAGAAATTTGTGAATTTTTATTTACATTTATTTGCATTTTTATTTTATTTATTGTTTTGTTTATACAGGAATGTATGCCTTTATTTACTCATTTCATTCATTCATTCATTCATTCATTCATTTTCTTTTTGGTTTAGTGCCTTTATTAATCCCGGGTCGCCACAGCGGAATGAACCGCCAACTTGTCCAGCACGTTTTTACGCAGCGGATGCCCTTCCAGCCGCAACCCATCTCTGGGAAATATTTACTCATTTATGAATGATAATTGCATATTTATTTATTAGTCATGCATTATTTATGGATTTATTTACAAATTTATTAATGATATTTGTGTATTTATTTTTTATTATTCTAAATGAATTTATGGATTTATTTACAAATTTATTAATGATATTTGTGTATTTATTTTTTTATTATTCTAAATGAATTTATGGATTTATTTACAAATTTATTAATGATATTTGTGAATTTATTTTTTTATTATTTATGCAGGGATTTATGGATTCATTAACTAATTTATTAATGATATTTGCGTATTTATTCATTGTTTTGCAGGTTTCGTCCTCCATAATAACATGCTTTTCTCGAGTAGGAAAAGGAGACGTTTACAGACGTTTTGACGGGTATAGTATATCCATGAAATAAAATACATGAATAAACTCTCCTCTCCTCTTTCCTGTCACCTGACGTGCCTCTCTGCGTCGTCGCGTACGTTTACGTAAAGCTCGCACTCCGGGTTCCCTGGCGGAGAAGATGGCGGCTCCTGGACCGGGGGAGTATTTCAGTGTCGGGAGCCATGTCTCTTGCCTCACCTGTTTGGGGCAGCGTTTGCAGGGAGAGGTGGTGGCTTTCGATTACCCGTCCAAGATGTTGACTCTGAGTATCCTTTATTCCTCCGATATGTGTTTTTAAACGGCAGGACTGTGTCAAACTGGAGCTCCGCGCGAGCGTGTTTATATGTGCGCTAGTGGCCTCATTCAACGCCTATTCTTGCTTCATTCACTTTCTGTGTCGTGTTTGGAGACCACCTGCCACGTTTATCGCTTGGAAATTTCCTTGTTTAGTTGATTTGATGTTGATTCATACTTGTGATCCCATCGGAATAGTGTTGTTTGTGGTTAGCGTGTCGATTAGCATGTCCTCGCGACCGACAGCATTAGCAGGCGCGCTAAGCTAATGTCTTTCCAGTGCAATAATGGCAGCTCTCGTAGGACACATTACACGCTTACTAAATGGTTGTTTGTATTCTAGTAAGTGTTACTTTGTTGGAAATAATCGTGGACAGGCTGCATAGTGTACTCGTTTATCATCATGCTATAACTACACGCGGTATGTAGCCGTATCGCTGTTTTCAGATCAGCAATATCAGGTCGTATTTTGTCCAGTTGTACGGTTGTTGTACTGATACAGGTGTTTTGAGATGCTGAGATTGGATGAACGTCAGGTGTATGCATTCTTATCATAATATGAACATGTTGTTAAGTGCTGAAATACTTCGACATGCTGTCTTAAAGAGTGTCCAGGTGATAGTGTTGACACACCCTGTGTCCAACATATTCCTGCTGTATTTTCTTTATGTTTTGGAAAACACTGCTTTAGCATTCTGTTACTTTGTCCTCAAGAGTTACTCCTTTGGTCATCTCAGGACATTTGTAGCTTTAATCATGTGAATAAGTCTGAACAGGTTTTCTAATGTGTAAAAAATCCATTTAGTCTTTAATATGTCATGCACTTGTCTCATAAATGCATGCTCACAGGAATTAAAACTAATTTTGTCATTTTATATTTCACCGGTGATAGATCTATGGGTGAATGTTTTCTTAAAGCTTAGTTTAATTTAGTGTAGGACATTAATAGCTGTGTGATTTAACTTATGTGTACTGTATTGAGGCTAAGTTGGTTGTATATTCGCACATTTTTTTCAGTGACAACTCGTGACACGGCACCTATGTTGTTTACCAATCTAATTTGAACAAATGGTCTGAAATCACATGCAAGAATATGTTAAACAACCTTAGTACTTGATGATATGGCAAAAATGCAATCTGTAATTATTTTCCATATTGAACGATAACGATATATATTCCGACATCAGTTGTTAATGCTTCCAGATTTAAAAGAGTATCCTAGCGATCTTGAGGTAATTGGTTTTATATTCCGATATTCAGAAATTCTCCTTTATATCATTTCAGAAGAGTATTCTTTATTAATTCTAGCTAGGGAAATCATATTAGCAGCCAATGACTATTAAAGTACAACATTGTTTACTGTCAAATGTTTAGTGCTAATGTTTTGAAGTCATACTTGCATGCCATTTCAGAGCGAATATTTAAAGTTGCGTGGTAAATATTATAGAGACAGTTAGATGAACGACTGTGAGAATATAAAACCAACTTTACCTCAATCCCAACTATGACTGAAGCCACAAAAATTAGAGGGTGCATTTAATGGTATAACATATTTTCAGCTGAAATTTCTGGAAATCTCTAATATCAACACACTTTAGATTCTGATTGTTGCTCATTTCTGCTGTGTGATTGGCTTTAAGATCAATATAGAGTTAAAAAAAAAAAAAAAAAGTACAGAGCTTATTGTTATTGACAAATTCTATCGCGATTTGATATAATATCGTTTATTGGCCGAGCCCTAATTAGCACTATTTAATTGACTGTGAACAATGTTGTACTTTGATAGTCGTTGGCTGTTATTATGATTTTCCTATTTAGAATTTGCGAAGAATACTTTTCAGAATTTATATTGTTAAGCCGCCTTTCCACTGCACACAACATTTGGACACGACTGTCGGAATACGCCCTTCTTGTAGCAGTTGCACAGTATTTTCAGTGTTGTCGTCCACCATGATAGAAGCTGATTGTCAGTGTCCGAAATAAAGGAGTGCAAAAGCAAGAGCCTTTATTCTCTGTGCGTTTACATGGTTTAATGAAGGAATGAATACTAGAAAGTCATAGACCGCTACAAATATTGGAGGGAATGTGGAGACAACATTAAAATATATATTTTTTATTACTTTCTTACTTGCGTTTAAGAACAGGAATGTTTTATATATATATATATATATATATATATATATATATATATATATATATATATATATATATATATATATATATATATATATATATATATATATATATATATATATATATATATATATATATATATATATATATATATATATATATATATATATATAT